GGAATAGCCACGTGCCTTGGTGATTCTTTTGTGAAGGTCTGTGTTCTGTTCCATTTTCTGTCCCAAATGACATTTGGGAAAGTTAAACTTAGTTTGGATTAAATGTTGTCATTTTCATTATCTTACATTAGCAGTAAGTTAGATGTAGGTAGTAAGCAGTGGTTTTTTAACCCATCTTTTTCAATAGAATTTTTTTTTTTTTTTGAGGGAGTGGCAAGTGGGGGAGGAATAAACCAAATATGCTTCTACCCTTGTACTGCTGCCATTTGAACAGGTTCCTTCGTTCTTTAGCTTAGTTCCATATAGCATTATCTCTTTTAAAGATATATTTCTTTATTATTTCTTTATATATATATATATATATAATATTTATTTTATTTATTATTATATATATTTTATTTATTATATATATATATTTTTATATATATATATATTTCTTTATATTTTCTATATTAGCTGCCAGACGTGCTGGTGATGCGTTCTTAGATCTCAGATCGGTTGACATTGATTTTCCTAGCACACACCAATGTAGAAATCTGGTCTGTAACTCATCCAAATGGTCTATTCATAACAAAAAGTGCCTTCTGGCAGTTGCACTGCAGCTGAATACTATTAAACTGAATTCATCATTTGTTTCTGATTGCTCTATATGTTTACATATCTTACATATTAGTACGATCTTTTTTAGAGCACACACTGAGGTTAAGTCCTCCCAGGCAGAACCTCTTCCTCCTTATTTGCCCTTTCAGATGTTGAACTTCTCTTTTTCCATTAAAATGAATGGAAACTTTGAAACTTCTTAATGCTTTCCTGTACCGAAACGAAGGGTAAGATATAGCAGTGCACATGGTCAGTGGGCTTGGTGATGAGGGGTTGGCAATTGCACTTGATGATCTTAATGGTCTTTTCCAACCTTTACGATCCTGTATTGGGGAGATGTGAAAGGTGACGTTTTCCTGCACAAAAGAATTCTTCCCCATCCAATGCCAGATGAACTGTGGGGTACAGTTATGGAGTAAAATAATTCCATAAGTAAACACTGTGGGGCAATAGTCTGTGGGAATAGGATCAAATGCTTCTCATCTCCTGTGTTCAATTGCCTGCTGCAGTAATTGTTGTGCAGAGAGCATTCTGACACCCAGCAGGGGGCAAGTAACTTGACCCTCTGTGTTTCAGTTTCTCTATATGTAAAAAATAATAAACAGTAACATGTCTCACAATAGGAGCGTGTTGCAGGGTGGATTTAAGTTAAATAGAAGGAAGAAAATATGAAGCTTCTTTTGAACATGTATTTTAACTTTCAAAGAAGGATGTCATCTCTTATTTGCTTTAAAAATAAAAATCAATTGCCCAGAGATCTAAAACAGATGTTGTTTTCTACTAAAAAGATTAAGGATTCTCTTAAGCTCATTAAAGGAATAAAGTGACACCACAATGATCCATCTGTATCATCATAAGTATGTCTGAAGGCAATAGAAAACTCCAAAAAGGTCCCTTCCAGCCCCTGTGATTCTGTGACATGGTATTAGTGGCACAAGAATAACTGAGTCTGGCACCCTGTGCTTGTCTTCTGAGTTCTGTGGCACACTTTTTCTCCAACCTTATGCTTATGTGTACTCGTGTTTTAGTGGGGTTGAGTGGTATGTATACTCAGGCAGAATTTAGAATTTACAATGAAAATACAAACACCAGCTGCTGCATGGCTTGAAAAATTCAAGCATCCGAGTCATATCAAGGAGGGGAAATGGAAGCTGTTTGCTGTCTTTTATACATGTATCTGCAGAACAGTGTTCACCATTTCTTCTCGAAGAGCATGTGCCTGATTTTGGGAGTTCATTACTGCACTTCTTATCAATAACCAGGCACAACTGACCTAGAATTAACCTACCTGCCGGATGGCTGCAAAATGTGGATTGAATTGTTGAAGTGAAGGTAGAAAAAAAAAAATAAAAAAAAAACTAATCAAATTGAGCAATGCCACATACAGTGTTAATAAATCCCAGCATGCTAGCCGGTGTTCTTTACTTTGGAGAATTACTGCAACTGAAAAATAATGATAACCTGGTATCCCACCTGTTACATCCATCCATCCATCAGTGTGGAGCTCTCTTGTTTGCTCTGTATGGGTGCTGAAAATTTGCTGGAATATATACAAACTACTTCAGTAGTAAAATGATAGGAAAGTCTCAGTGCAATTTGTGAAAAGCCAGCATGGCAATAGACTGTCCTGGCAAATGCCTGTGGGTGTCCAAAATGCCACGCCAGTATGAGCTCCAGGGACACTTTGGTCCTTTAATCAATCTAAACCCTTTAGTTTTATCAGGCATGCAGGACGACTTGATAAATGGTGGAGTAAGGACAGAAGAAAGATAGATGTATCTACATATCTATATAATGTATTTAAACTGTTGTCCTTCTCTATGTTTGTGACTTCCCATGTATTCATAACGCACCTTTGTGCCTCAAACATCCTTAGAGTATTTGGTCTCTTCCCACTGTGCAACAGTGTGTTTAGAGGAGGCTTCAAACAAGCAGACCCTTCTGCCCTGAAGGTCCCTTCCTACCTACAGTAAGGTGTGCTGTGCCAATGCCTTGGGTTGGAAGGGACCCCAAGGATCATTGCGTTCCAACCCCCTGCCACGTAAATGAGACAGGATGCTGGGGTTCTCAGTGTGCTCCCATCATCAGTTTGGAGCAGATAACATTTGGCAATTTTGATCTTGTGCTGTCTGTGTTCTCAGTAAAGCTGGCAATGTGGCATTGGTGTAAAGATCAGTTTATTTTAGGTTTCTACGTTTTAGAAACATTTAGCCAATGCTTTTTGTTGCACTTCTTTTTGTTAGTGAAATTGTAAGAGAAGGCTTGCCCCACAGAGGTGTTGAAAACCCAAGGCTGCATTAATTTGTAGTTTTAAGAGAAAACAAAACAAAACCAAATGTCTTTGCAATGTTTTTGACGTAGCTTTGTCCACTTGGAGTCATAAATGCCTTTTTAAATTCAGTGCAGCTATTCTTGCTCTTTAATGGGTTTAGTCAGCCAAAACGTTACGCAGACGCACAGACACATGTGCAGGCATACCTCTTTAGTGAAAGTAAGTCAGTGTCCTATGGCTGATAGGGGGGATTGAGCAGAATTCTCTTCTTATTTAGATGCGTTCCAAAGAGAAATGAGGATAGCTTGAAACTGTCATGATGTATTTGGAGCAACCAGTCTTTGCTGCTTTGTTTTTCTACTTTATTTCACGACGAGAATCAGCTGTAATGTCAGACGATGGCTAAAGCAGACTATTGTTTGTGCAGAACCCTCCCTGCTGCTGGTATATTTACTAAACATGTGTGATACACAAATGCCAGTAAACTGCATCATCCAGCATATTCCCCAGTTGCCAGCAAAAACTGTCTTTAAAGTTTGGCCTGTTTAAATATACAGAGAATGTGCATTGAGTGGAACAGAAACAGAGCTGAATTTTTGTTTACTGTTCCTTGAAGCTATTTGGATGTGAAATCCTGGTGTTATTGAAATCAACAGCAATCCACAAGCATCCTTCAATGGGTGCAGAGCTTTTCTAACACAGAACAAGCTCTAAATACAAAAAAGCATTGTCCCATTGACTGAGACCTTTCTTAATTTTTGTTTCTGTGTTGCAAACGTGCAGACTCAACATTGTTAGGGAATTCTTGTTTCCTCCTCTTGGGGCATTTCCTACCTTCTAGAGAACAGCAGCTGCAGATTTACTTCATTAACGCAGCTTAGTGGGCAGTGCATTCATGCACCATCTGATGGTGTAGAACTGTACTGCCATCTTATTTTCCCATTGAATTTATGGCTGCATGTACCTTGAACGTCTCAACCTGTTGGTTCTGGAAGAGGTGATGTGAATCATTCTCCAAATGAGAGGACAGGTCATCTATCTATGGCAATGGATGAGCTGTCTTCTCCAGTCCCTACTGCAGGAGTAAGTCATGTTCAAACAGTGCAGAATGCTCAGCTAGCTGCTATGGCAATTTACTGCTGATTTGTAGCATGTACTACATTCTGTGCCTTGCTTGCTAGCTTGTCATACCTCCTTACCTTTCTTTCTGCACTCAAAAGAAAGTATAGAAAGTTTATCTAGTCTATTGACAGCTTTAGTAAGAGGAAGGAAAGTGCCCTCCACCCTTATAAACTGGTAATTGGCATCTTTTGAAGCAGAGAAAGGAAATGAAAGTGTGTCCCACATCCTGACTGATCTATCCACTGAAGTGCTGTGCAGGGACAGGACATCACTGTAGATATGGATGATCTATTAGTTCATGAAAGAGAGTGCTGCCTTGACGTAAGGATTCACAGAGGGAAGGAAAGTTTTCTGTAATTAAGTTAATTAAGCCTAAATAAATAGGGAACCTGAAGCTGACCCAGGCACGTGTTTCCTGTTGACTTGGGACAAGCAACTCCCTGCCATCCAGGCCAGGTTTGCAGTTTCCACACAAGGAATCTGACTGGGAACGGTCAGCTGGGTTTCCCTTTGATTCTCAGCTATAAAAACACACAGGATGAGTGCTCTGTAAGCACTGCTGCCTGGCCAGGTTAGCTGTGTTTTCTGCTGATAATCAAGCACAGAATGTTTTATCCAAATGCTCATTTTAACTAGAGTGTTTTTCTGAAGGAGCAAAGCACTTTCCTTCTCCATATGAAATACAGTTCTTATTTGTGAAAGTTCATTCTTTGGTGTGGCCAGGCCTGTGGCCAGGCCCAGCTGCTGTGTAAATGGGTGTGAGTGGGAGAAATAGGAGTTAGGCAGTCAGTAGCTGCAGCTGTATCATGTCATCTGAAAATGATGCAAATGGGGAACATATTTCTCCTTCATTCTCCTCAGAGTAAATCTCCACCTACACATTTTTGCTGATGATGGTAACTTCAGTGGAGGAGCACAAATCAATATTGGATTGTGACAGCTGCCAAACATTAGCTGAGAAGCACCTACTTCAACAGGTCACTGAGGCTATTTCTTACTTTTCCAGATCAGTGAAACACCCATTTTTGTTCCTGGTGTTTGGGGACCTTATTTCTCTGCCATGGTACCTGGATTGTGGCTGAATGAAGGAGGTCAAAGTGCTACAGGGAAGCTGGTAAGTGTACAGAAGCACAGAGCTTGAGATGGGAGCTGACTGCAATCATCTGAGATAGCTTCACTGCCAATTCAGCCAGAGCTGTGCCTAAAGCATCCTTGTAAGATCAGAGCAGAAAGCAGTAAACAATTAGTTGATTGTTATGCCCTTACAGCCTGTTCATTTCCATTCTGCTAGGGGATTATATGTGGGGCGGAGCTCTAAGGGCATGCAGTCCTTTCTTGATAATTGCAGTGATGATTTTTATAATTCTACAGGCAAGTAAGCTTTCATACTTTGTAGTAGCAAGAGGGTGAGGTAGGCTTTGAGATGAGGAAATGTACACATGAGGTCAAGAAGACCTCAGTGAGTGCTTCTGTGTTTCTCCATGTGTCTCTCTGCTCAATCAATATGATCTGCCTTTAGTGGCAAGGTGCCAAATTCCTAGTGAGGAACCACAGGAAACAGGGCCTGGTCCTGCAAGGACAAGCTCTAAGCTCCAAACATACAGGTGGGTTTGGCTTTGTGCAAATTGCAGCCGTAATTGCTGTCTTACTCAGACTTAGCACCACCCATGTTTTTAAAATCCTCGTGATCGATGCACGTGTCCTGGAAGTAGCAGAGTTGGGCATCACCACATTTATGCATTCCATATGAAACAATCACAGTACAAGGAACAGAAATAATCCGGGATCAGGAAGCCCAGATACACCTTGAGTGGTGAGCTGTGACTTGATGTTCCCTCGTGTGTGCAGTCCTTGGCCTCGTGAACCTTTGGTTCCTGTCTGTACACTCAGTGGGACACTCAGCACTCTTCCCCAACTGCACCTCCAGTTCCCATCCCAGGCCTGCTCTGAGCCTTGTGCATAAATCACTCTTGCAGCAGGTGGGATGTGTGTGTTACATTTTTCAGGTCAAGACAAGGGTGGAACCAAAGCATCCCATTTTACAGGTAACAGCTACAGCCAGAAGTAAGATTTAATTATCACTCACAACAACACCACTTCAAAGGGAAAATGGTAAATCTTGTGCATACTTCATAAAAACAGTTTTGAGAGAAGTCTCTGTGTGCTTAACGCAAAGTGGGTGGAGACATTTAACCGAGCCCAGGAGAGGATACAGCAAATCACATGTGTTTTGTTGGCTGCCTCATGGGGGTTTATCTGGAAGATGATTTGAAAGATCCTTTTCAGTCACTGCTGGATTCCATTCCGGTACCAGAGGACAAGGTGTTCCTCAGTCATTTAAGAAAATGCTGCAAAACCTATGTGCTTGTTAGGGACACTTAGCAAAGGTCAACTGAGAGTAAATAAAGGTATATTACAAAAGCTATCTTATTAGAACATTCTTAGAATATTTAGTGCCATTTTGTGGAGGTTGCACATACAGGAAGACATGGTTTATGTGTAAAGTGGTGTGGAAGATAGATTGCATTCACTATCATTATGGTTTTAAAGCTGTAGTTGTATTCAGGACATTTAAATATCTAACTTCATTCTAACAGTAACACTTCTGTTTAAAGCTTTTTCATAACAGGTATATATATGATATTTATCTATAGATGTATTTCTGGATTTATGAGTTGTTCCTATGTTCTAGGTGACTATTAATATTGCAATTAGGTCAGAGCTTTGTTCTAATGCATGTTTGAGTTTTGTGTTTGATGTAAATCTCAGAAAGAACAGACGTGTGTTATTTTTATTCCTGTGTTCTGATGTATATGCTTCATTATAAAGGTTTCTCTACACTGATTACGGTCTAGACACAGACTGTGAAAAATACAATACATAATGTGTTTTACAGCCAATATATACTGCCAAATGCAGTCTGTGCTCTTGAGTAGCTCTAGTTTTGCCTCCTTACTTTTTACTGTCACTTCAAGAGGCCGCAAAACACTGATTCTACTTGATACTTCATTATGTGAGTAATGGTAGTCGCTGTGATGTGAAAAGGCTGGATGATTTATAAATACAGCACGAACAGAACCAGTATTCAGCTTTTTTTTTTTCTTTAAGCAATAATTGCTTGTCAGAGGAAACATTTTGTTTCCTGCAATGAACATATGGAGCACTTATCCAGATGACAACACACCTTGTGTTTTATTGTAATGGTATGATATAGAATGACGTAGGGATTCGAGCCAAGAAGATGCTCCTGGTAGAGTTCCAATGAAAGCATGCGTGCAATTGAGTGGGAAAGATTAGAGGTTGTACTCTCAAGTATTGCTGGGCAGGAAAAACTTCCATCCTTTTGGTGTTACTCTTCTGACTGAGGCACTGCATGCTCAGCATATTGCCTTGCTTGGTGCGTTGCTTTTTGTTACCATTTTAAAGCAAAATCTTGAATCCTGGAATGTCAGTGGGAGTTTGGCCATTGGCTTCACTTGGGTTGGGACTTTACACCTCATGAGTAACTTAAAAGCTCCCTTGTCTTTTTAAAGTTAGGAAACTGCATTGCTCCTTTCCAGGACTGAATTTTAAGGATACAATCATTCAAAAAAATGTTGCTTTCCTCTTTTTCAGATAGAGCATGTGGTCCAAGGCCATGTTGCCTTCCCGGAATTACAATCCAAAGCTGCAGCCAGGTCACTGTTCTAATTTCTTCATCACATGCCTGCCTTATCAGCTGACATATTGTATCCCCAGCACTGAGATATCGCTCTGCTGTGTATATTCTGGAACATGGGAATCAACAGAGCAACAGTGGATTGGAAGTATTTACAAAGGCTTTTCAGGTGGTTGTTCAGAGAGGAAAGCTTTAATCTCCTCTCAGATATTTTGAGGGTAGCTAGATGGTGATACCAGCTTCACCAGCTTCCTGCTTTTCAGCCTGTTTTACCCAACCCAGCATATTGGTACCATAGCATCAGCCCTGTTCAGCTAAGCTGTGCGCCTTAGGCTAACGATGTCTTAATTTGTAGGTGATCTATTGAGCTCCAGGGGTGAAATAGAGCTAAATTAGGAATATATTATGCAATATTTTTGGAACAAACATCTAAAGGAAGGTATAACCACTGTATGGAACTCCTATGTGACAGCACAAATAGAACATAGAAAGCCAGGATACATTTTCAGACAAAACTTAAGATGTGGGAGTGTATTGCTGGTAATTCCAGGATTCCTTGAGCATGCAGATATGAGAGATGTCGAATTTTAGTTTGATCTACTTTGGAAGTGGATGAGGACCACTTCCATCAGATCTGAATTTTCTAAGACCAACTTAGCTGAACAGTAAAGTACATTGGATGAAAAATTAGTTATCCTAATTATTTTTTCACCTCCTTGGATTAAAGACAGAAACAGTGAATCTGTCCTTTAATCTCCAGCTTATCACTCTGGTGTAAATGGCAAGGGCCAGTCCTGAGAGATGTACTAGAATTCATTCAGTTACAGTTAGTCCTCCCTGGGGGGATACAGCTACCTGGTTTCTCTGGATGACCCTTTCATAGTTTTTAATGTTAAATGGCTTAATTATTTGCTGAGACCTTGACCAGAATTCCCAGAAACCTATTGGACTTCCTTCAATATGGAATAGATTCACGCTTCCTAGAATTCTCTTTGTTGTTCTTTAAGAAAGAAAATCAGGAAACAAACGCATCTTTGTGTTTGGAATAAGGACTGATCTTTACTGCTTGGGTTTTTTTCAAGATTTTGGCTTCCAATCCATCTTTTCCCCATGCCCCCATGTGAAGCATAAGCTTAAGACAAAGAATGAGTTTGATCTCTGATGACTTTTTCTGTGTCTTGTTAAAGTGAGTATGCAGCAGCTTGCTTGTCCATACTAGGTGTGGTAGTGTACTGACCAGAACTAATTTCGTAGAGCTAAAAGTTTGGATTGTGATCTGGATAGGACACTAAATACAGAATATTGGGAACAGAACTCCACATATACTGTGGATATGGTGTCATAAACATGTGATATCAAAAATCTGTGCCTTTTACTTGCTGCCTACTTCTGCCTTCCCAAGCCTGTCCTTTCCTCTCCATCTAGCAGCGCTGCTCATAAGTAGGTTCAGCAGTGTCAAACTGCCTGCTGAGCAGCTGGTCTCAGAAGCTTCACTTTTCAGATTTTTGTTCCTTTGCATCCACCAGCAGTGAGACTTTGCATGCTGCACTTACCACTATTCCAGCTGATTTGTGGTAGCTTGTTAGGGCATGTGTGGCTTAAATGGGCTTGCCAGAAACCAGCTCCTGCTGACCACTTGTGCAGCCTTCCCAGCCTTATTCCCATGTTCTCTTTTCCCTTCTCTTACTGGAAGTGAAGAGGTTGAGTTGCATGAGGGCTGTCCTAACAGCTGCAAATTTAGCCTTTGGTCTGACCCATAGATGTACTCTGAACAACATGCTCCTTTTTTCATACAGTTCATGAGTTGCAGAAATCACTGTAGGAGACATCACATTTGGTGTTCAGCCTCTTTATTGTGTGGGTCTGACATCTAGCCATCACAATATGGTAAAACCCACTCTGTGTAGTCTAGGGTAGGAGATCAAAGAACATCATTTATGATTTTAAGTCTGAATACTTAGCTTCCTGGTATCACAGTTCCAAATCCCCTGGTGGAAGAAGTATGTTTGCCATCAAAGATTCCATGCTCATTGGTGCTTTGCAAAGAGGTATTATTTTAGGACAGAATTGCTTTTCCTTTGCTTCTCAATGCCATTTCTCCATCTAAAGACATGGCTCCTGAGGTGGGGGGGGGAAAGCAATGAAGTAACACACACATCATCTGTCAGCTCTTCTGCGACCATTCAAGCAGAATACAATCATAGTATTTGACAGTTTGCTATACCTGCATATTTTTATAGCCTTATTTCAAGTTTAGAAATGGAAAATTTTTCCATTTTTTTCTCAAAAATTCAGACTGACATCTTCTAGATTCCTAAACAGATTAACTACCAAACTCTTGTTGCTTTCTGAAATCCTCTCCTCACTAAGGACATCCTGAGCAAACTCATGTTCAATTCTTATTCTCCACTTTCAGCATTGTTCGTTTTTATTAGCTTGTGCTTAGCTCTGCAAACCAGATCCAGCTGCTACTGATAGCTTCACATGGAACTGGATAGAAAAAGCTCCAGAGAGCTCATGCTGTAACATTACGTCCAGCAGAGGTTTGGTACAAACTGGAACTGGCAGAAGTTTGAAGGATTTTGCCAATCGCTCACACTCACATCTTGTACAGACAAAAAAGAGGAAAAGCTGTGAAAAAAAAAGCATAATGCCAAGGTGATCTGGGTGTTAACGTATCTGGGTGAGCTCCAGCTTCTTTTGTGCAGTCTTCTGTCAGGGGGGTACGAACAGCTGATCCCTGCAAGAGTGGTCAAGCAGCACAGAGATCAGATAGAAGCTGAGATGTCTGCCTGGTAGATTTCTGGATGAGTGAAGCTTTCTTTTCTTCTTCTTCCCACCATCAAAGCGTGATTTAGCCTGGAAATACAATGACTTTGTGTTTAAGGTGTGCTGCTTACCTACAAGTAAGTTTTAGAGATGTAGAATACAGGGCCACTTCTGCAAGGGAGGGGGGAAGGGGAATGGTGACCTCAAAATTACCATAATTCAGGTCCAGGAAGACACACAAAGCACATTTAAAAGTATGTGAATAATGATGTGAATTAGTTATTTTAATGTCTTCCAAGTGTACTTCATTTTGAATGATATCCTCTGATAGCATACACATGGTAAGGTATAATTGAAAAAACATGCAGCTGAATGGTTGAATGCAAAGTATAAATATACAGCTGCTAGCAGGTCAGAAGTCAAACTAGTAAAGCATATGCCAAATTCCCTTAGGGATCTCATTAGTGTGTGATTGAATATACATGTAGAGGCTAAGTGAATATCACTGTTTGGGTCTATAGTGGATGAGACAATGACTAATCAATTGTAATTAGGGTTACATGCTATTATTGACCCACATGTCTAGAATTAAATGCCCCACTTGGAGATTTCCAAGGGGTTGAAAAATATATATGAATCTGTTTATGATATTATGAGTCTTTGAAAAAGTATTCTGAGCATAATTGCAACATTTTTTAAATGGAATGTCACTGGAGCTATTGGAAGCCAAAGCACTGAAGAATTCACTGTTAGACCAAAGATCACCGTTGGTCCAAGAAAATGTCTGTTGGATATTGTGGAGCTGGGTGTATCTGAACTGAGATGCAAGCGTGTTTAGGCCCATGTTCGGCTCCTCCCTAAAATAGCAGCCACTTGCTTTCTCTCCTCCACCCTCAGTGCTACATTTTAATCATAACACATATTGAAATAATTATGGTTTAAAAAAGGAAAGCTGAAAGTGCTATTGATTAATCAGAGAAATTGTCTAACTGCTGGAAAGGAATTTTCATTTCTCTCTGGAATCCTCCTCGTTCTTCTCTCTCGGCTTTCTTTCCTCCAGCTTTCCCTTTCACCGTGTCAGCACCTTGCTGTTAGAGACAAGCATCATCAAACCCCAAAGTACCCAACAGCTTTGGCTCAATTAGGGACCCATAGGAAGCAGTTTGCAGGCTCACGATCACAAACTTCCAGCTCTCGTCCTGCAGAACTGAGGCATGCAGATAGGCATCCCCACTGCTGCACAGTGCGGTGCTTCTCCCTCTTTGTTTTACTTCTGGGATTTGGGATTCTTTGTTGGGTTTTTCTGCTTTTGATAGTAGTACAAATGTTTTATGTTTGATGAATAACCTCCCCCACTCATTTTCCGACTTGTTTTTCTTCTAGTGCTCAAAGTATATATACATACTTGAACAGTCACCTGGATCTGATTAAGAAATCCTTGCCTGTGGGTTTCCTCACTGTTGATTTACATGTTTGGCCAGATTTCCATGGAAACAGATCTCCCTTAACAGATCTGACACTAAAGGGCATGGTAAGAAACAGCCTGTCTTTGCAAAAAGGTCAATACAGGGTAAAAAAAAAAAAAAAACAAAAAAAAAAACTTGGAAGGAGATTTAATTTTGAACATACTCCTTAGCTATTTAAACTGTCCCATAGGATTTGGGTTTCTTGCTGCATTTTGAAGTGTGCTAAAGTTTCAGTAGAAAACCAGAGATCGTTATAGTTCAGATATCATTACAACCACATTTGTTTCCTAAAAATAAGGAAAGTGTACATCTCCCAGGAACCTTCCTAGAACTTACACTTCAGAACTCTGTTAGCAGCGCCCACAGTTGTCATTAGCTCACCTGTCTGCCTAATTTTGCATCTCAGCACAAATTAGAGTATGTCTATGTGGGAAAGGAATGAAACAAACGCAGATAAATGTTTGGTAAATGAACTGTATTATAATTGTTGGGTGTTAAATCTCAACAGAAACTAAAGGCTCCTCTGCTTATTGTTAAAAATGGCCGTAGATGCTGTCGTGCATGGAAACATGCAGTCATGGTGCTTCATAGGTCTTTGTTCAAAGCTGGATGTGGTCTGATGCTTGCTTCTAGTTTTAAAAATGCTACTTTCGGAACTCACAGGGCTTGAAGTACTGTGTTCTGCACAAGGAAATTTTCAGAGCATTGCAGTGTGGAACCAGAAAGCAGCTTTTGGAAGCTCACCAGAGATGCTCTGTTGGGGACCTTTTTCAGCCCATCTTTAAAGATTTGGATGATTATTTCTCTTCATGGTTGCTGACTGGATAGCTAGCAGGCCAGATGCAATTGTGCAGGGCTGGAAAGCTATCAGAAAGGTATCATTTGATGATATCAAAATACCTCAGGAGTAAGACAAAAATTTACTTCAAAGTGGCATCGTGTTCTTGTAATGAATACCTCAAGCTACTCACCAGCACCAAAATCTGCTGTGCGTGAGTCTGAGGTAGGAAAGGGAGTTGTAAGCACCACCACACATTTAAACCACAAACAGAGGAAGCATCAAAAAATAGGTTACTTATCTGCAGAGTTCCACTAATCCCTATATGATTTTATGAAAGAATTCTACACTGCAGCAGATTCAGATTTTCCCTTGGTATGAGAGCTGTATGCAAACAGTGGTAATAGCAGTCATTTTCTCTGCTGGTGCTCACATCTGGCCTATGTTGATATTAACTCAGAGTAACTACAGTACGGTATTTATTTATTTCAGAGTAATGAAGGCGAAGGTGTAGTCTTTAATTATTAATTGTCTTTCAGTGTTATGGCACTTGGAAGTGAGAAGTGCTTTCAAAAACTTGTTTTTATGTGATAACATTTTCATATTATTACATAAAATACATTCACAGGCAATGTCTGAGTCATAGCATAAAACTGTCAGAGTTAATCTATCTCTAATCTCACAGTATATGCTGCTTGTTCTTTATTTCTTTGCAAGCATAATAACAATTTATGTGGTTCTTCCCTAGATCAAGAATAACATGTTTGACATAACGTTATGTGTACGGCTCACAAAAATAAGACTTAGAATTATCACTTAAACTTGTTACAACAAGAAACCATAGAGTTTTACTTTGGCTGGATTTGTATGCTTTTCTTTGATCTTTGCACAGGTTGTCGGACTGACGCTGTCTCGGGGTCTGGATGAACTTGCCCTTATCTACTTGGCCACGATTCAAGCAATTGCTGTAAGCCATTTTAAGTGCATAAAAGAACAAATGAATTGTCTTGTGTTCTGTGGCAGACTGATCATTCCCCTCCACTAAACAGATTGCTAGTAATAGATGAATTCACTTAATGGACTTCTTAAAGGAGCAAGATACTGTTTACCACGTTGCTGACTACTCCCCGCTGTAGGAAATGGTGTGAAGAATATGTTCCCTAGAAAGATTTCCCCTTATGACAGTTCAGAGCCTTTGTTTCTGGTGCATATGTGAGAAAGAGGCTGATGCTATGAGGGGCAGTGTTGGCATCGTGGGCTGTCTAGAGCGAAGCCGAGATAGCGGAGGCAAAAAAGCACCGACTTTCTTTTAGGAAGGAACTTGCTCTCCCCAAATTTACCTCAACTTCAGACTGTTCCTAAATGCACAGATTTCCCCTCGTTGTGTGATGGGAGAGTCAGAACCACATTGCTGAAGTCTGAGTGGGTCTGTATCTCTACGTACTGAATGAACCACAGCTCATTCCTCTCATGGTCTCCCCATTGGAAGGCAAGCAGTTGTTTTATATATGACAATTGCAATCTGAGGCTGTGTTTCTGTAAAGCAGAGAGACCACCTTTATGAAAATGGCACAGAAGTTTGCTAGCATGCATGGATGGGATATGTGATAGGAATACTTCTGTTTCTGCCCTCGTTTTCTCAGATGAGAGACTTTCCAGAAACCAGGATTTCCAGTTCATGAGAAGTTCTATTTTGACACGAGAACCTGGGTCAAAGGAGTTGTTTTGAAGCACTGGCACAGGGTATCTGCGATGGGGCATGCTATCCCCAGGCGTTCAGTGACTGCAGCTGACATTCCTTTGACATCCTCTTTGTAATTATAAAAAAAACCAGAACTTGTTGAACTTGCAAAACATTAACATGTTGATGAATTGGGGAGTTTTCCTGACAAACCTCTATTTGGCTGGAAAACTTCCAAACTCCTCTACTGGTTAAACAGCAACTTTGCTAGGTTGGGTCAGCCATCTGGGATACAGGGTGGGCGGCTGCTGTAAATTCACTGTGAGCTGTACATGTCGTGTGTTAACCCTCCATCTTCAGCAAATAACTTGGGTCTGGAATGGATGGTTGTCAGTTCTGATCTTTTTTAGGATGTATGTAGCTGGGTTCTACCTGATGTTTCAGTCTAATCCCACAGTTTGAATGAGAATGTGTAGGAGAGTTTAATCGATGCCAGCTACTGATACAACCCTGAAAGAAACTGAAAACTTCCCAGTATCGAACAGGTGCTCAGGTATTGTGCTGTGCTAATGAGGTGGAAACCTTCTCAGCTGGAAATCCTGGGAAAGTCACCTATTATCTCATTGTACAATGCAACTCACGTTTTATTGAAAAACACACATACTGAGTTCAGCTCTGCATTCAGCATTTGTGATCATTAATTGCCTCGATCGTGTGATTTAATATCAAAAGGTCACACAATACTTTTCATTGTAAGTTAACAGAAATTAATTTTTTGGTAAACACTATTCAGGTAGTAGCTGGAAAGCAGGCAGCAGCGGCCTTGGGTTTGATGTGATGTATTTACCAACTGCTGGTGCTGTACCTGGAAATTTTACATTTCCTCCCATGCTCTGCCACTCCCAGGTTAGCTTTGCTTTGCAGAAGCACAGCCCCAGTCCCGTACCATTAACCACTGAAGCAAGACATCCTTAAAGCTAAGTAAAAGTCCCGTACAAAGTGTAGGCCTGCCTGCAGAATGTTAATCTCTGGTTTTCTTTTCAGCAGGAGACGCTTTTTTTCTTTTCATATAAAATTTGCATTTCAAGCCCCTCCATTTGCATTTTCTCCAATCCAGAATTAAATTAGTTCCCCCCCCCGACCCACAGTGAAATAAGTCAGGCTTTAATTTAAATTGCTCTGTGAATACAATTTTCCAGGCAGGTAAACACAAAATAATTTTCACAGCGTGTCCTTTCTCAGGATCTTTGGCATGTGTACGTTGGGAGACAAGTTGTTCGTACGTTGGAATTTCAGAAGTAGTGAAAGAGAAAATCCTTCTGACCATTCACTGCAAAACGCGATGCGCCAGTTGGGCCTGTGAGAACAGAGATCCAGCCGTGGCCATCGAGCCCGGTCAGAGGAGACAGATTTTCTCAAGTAGTTTTTTGGGTTTTTTTTCCATAAATAATTTGGAAATGAGCTCTCTGTGTCAATAGGGAAGTGATGGATTTAGTCAGCTGCGTTGCGGCTGCTGAAGTTCCTCATAACCGCTTGCCTTAATACTCAAAAATACATCTGAAGACCTGTCCAGGATTGTGCCAGTCACAGCACATGGCTCAATCTGCAGAAAGTCTGCTAGTTTCTGTTTTAGTGGAGTCTATTTGCAGAGGGCTTTATTGCAGGCAGCAGACCTCTTAGTGAACCCGCAGCAAAGCATGAAGAAAACATAAATAACAGTTTGTCAGAACGGGACCAGATTGTGTTTGGTGGGGAGTTTGCCTAAGAACGGTCAGCTTGGGTTGAAGTTTTGACTTGGATTTGGTATTTTGTCAAGTTTGTACTTCAGAATTAACTTCCAGGGTATTATAATGAGCTGGGAATTCAGGGGGACAGACGGTCAGTGAAACTGGAAGAGAAAACAGAGAGGGCTGGCTTCAATGGCAAGCAGGGGCAGCACAAAGAGGGAAGATTTTTTATTGGCAACCTGTTTGCTTTTGTCATTTACAGAACACTGACCTGTTCTAATATGAGCTTCTGAGAATAAAGACTTTGAAATGAAAAGTTTAAAAATATACCCACATTTTAGACATGTTTCAATTAATCCAGGCATGAAATGGAACATTTTATTTTGTGCAGGGCAAAGGCCAAGAGAAATAGTTAAGCCAATAGAAAATTCCTCAGGTTTTCCTTTTTGCTGAAAAGGCAGAAAGTACAGGTTTATCATTTGCTCCTTTTTTGTTTTATTTTGTTCTGTTTTGCCAGAAATCTCAATACTGAGAGTGATACTGAGATGTATCTGTAGAAAGAAAACAAGAAAACAGGAGTTTTTGGTGGGAGTGTCTTTGACATATAAGGGTTATGGAAACCTTTTCTGTGTCGTGCTGCTCGTGGTCACAAACAGCTGCTTATCACTGCCATCAGTGTAGCTGGTGCCCATTTCTGTCTTCTAGTAATTGCAGTCTTTACCCTTGTAAGTACTTCCCTGCAAGCCCCTTTTTTCCCAGCACTGTAGAGTGGAAGTTACCTTTTCCTGTTTTCAGCCAGCCCAAGGATGCTCACTGCAATGTACTGTGCCTTTGTACTTCCGAATTCTCTGTGCAATCTGCATGATTTTTCTTGTCCTTAATCACAGTACCATTTACTCTTTCAAGCTAAGCCAAGTCTGTACCCTTCTGGTTTACTCCCAGCCCTCGGGTTACTGCTAGGGGCAGGTAGTGTCTCTACATTTCTGTCACACTTTGTAGCACGTTGTTCTTCTGTTCCCGTGGCTGCTCTCTTGTGCTCATCTGTTGAGTTTTTGTTTTTTCTTTTCTTTTTCCCTTTTTCAAGTTAGGAACAAGACATATTTTGGAAGCTATGGAGGCTGCAGGCCATCATATCAACACCCTGTTCCTGTGTGGTGGGCTGAGCAAGAACCCTCTCTTTGTGCAGATGCATGCTGACATTACTGGTAAGCGAGAGGAAGTTTGGGTAAAGGAGTGTCAACTGCTTTATTGTTGTAGGTGGCCAAGTGCCTCGTCTCTGGAAAAATAAATACTTCCTTTACATAGAACTGAATTTTGTTGGTCGGACAAAAATATTGGAATGAAATGTAACTTCCTGCAAGACTGGATTTCCTGAAATTTAAAGGCATTAGAGAATAATACCGAGATGTGGTGCAAATAAAGCTCCATAATTTGTATTGTTAGAAAATGGACTTTTGGAGGATCTTCCAACTTATTTCTAGTTTGTGGATCTTAGCCTAAGATCCACAACTTCCTAAGAAAGTGCAGTAGAATTAATATAAAAGCTGTGTGGAATTTTCAGAACCAGTAGGTGTAAGTTATGTCTGTGATGTTCCTCAGTACCAGATTTATAAAAAGTATTCTAGGCATGATATAAAAATTCTTCCACTTAGTCAGATTATAAGAAGTTAATTTGATGAGGATAATGCGTGGTACGTTTGATGAGTTTGTTTCTACGTCAGATGTGCTTTATTTCTAGTGAAACCTCTGTCAGGTTCGTCCTATTTCAATTTCTGCTCATGCTGGACACACAATGCATTGTAGAGAACAAATCCGTTCTAAATTACCTTTCATATGGTTTAGAGGGCAATTTCTGCATCCCTGCTCCTGCATGATGTTCCATTTAGTTTTGTACAACTACTGATAGATGGAAGGTGCTGGGTTTGTGGCTTCAGTGCTTCTAATCTCTGTTAGCCTGTGTGCACTGCTGTCTTAGCACACTTTTGAGTCAGTTGAATATACTTTTAATAACAGGGAAAAAAATAACAAAATTTAGTTTAAAAGACTTCAGAATAACTGTGAGCAGTATGTGTTTAGAGTGTATATCATGTGAAGACTGTTTGAGCTGTCATGAGCACAGTGATGCTCAGATTTGGGATACTTGGTTGGGCGATCTGTCTTGCCCTAACATCAAACCACATTTCATAACCTTGATGCAGAAGGGAAGACAAAAATATTCTTTTTTGTAGTGAGTTGAGAACAGAAATGGAGAAGTAAATTATAATGCCTGTTGGCCTTACAATTCACTGAACGTGTTGTGGTCGAGGTGGCACTTTGTTTGTGAAGAATGTTGAGAGGTGCATATCTTTCCATGCGTGACTCAAATGTTTTAGGTGAATTTCAGCATGCAGAGTTTGGGAGGCTGATTCCTGCTGTGTAAAACAAAGGATCTGTGAAAACGTATTCCGATTAAAATGTAATCAGGAGTTCTTTGACTGTAACTAATGGCCAAGTACAATTCAGTACAAAAAGGCCCTTTTGCAGTCTGGAGTTCTCCCCCATTTGTAAAATCTGTGACTGACAAGAGATGTCAGAGTTCATCTAAGTGAAATGCTCCCGGTTGTGTTGAACTCATTTGAGCCTATCAGATAAAATAACTAACATTCCAGGATCAATCCCCCATTCTTTCACGAGAGGAAAAAAATCTGAATATATTATTGTTAGCTGCAAATGCCCGTGGCTCAGCCATGCAGACATCCAGTAGATAACTTTACAGGCCACTTAAAAAGTATCTTGATCTTTTTGTTTGCTTGGTAAGAATTCTGCATTCATTCTGATGGTGCAGGAAATGTGCAGTAAATTTTAGAGCGTGCTGAAAGTTGCTTTCTGCTTCAGCGCCCGGCGAGCAGCCGCGTGGCTGTGAGCGTAGTGTTAGGCTGTCTGTGTCTGATCCCAGCCAGCCCAAGTCCCGAGCTGTGCTCCATCTTAGCAGGAGGAGTGCTCACGAGTCAGATTTTGCACTCTTGTTTTCACGGTGGATGTGTTTGTTGTAATTCAGACAAACACACGGGGTGCTGTGGTCGCATTGGCTCACGCCTAGTAGCCATTCCAGCAGTCCAGCAACAAGCCTGTGCTGTACCTGTTTTCTTTCTGCACCACACTGCCTGTGCTAACTATAAGAAAAAATGGCATGAAGAGTGCTGTGGCACTGGAAAATGATCGCAGGCAGCTTTAAACTGAGAGAACAGAGCAAAACCAGCATGTTGGCAGATGCTGGGGTGCAAGGTGAGCTTGCTTTGCATTGATAGTTGGTTTTTATATTAATAACTTTCTGTCCCATTTTAAAAGCATGTATTTGGCTTTTCCTCTGTAGGAGTTGTTCAGAGCTTTCTTTACATCTCCCATTTCAGCTCCTTCTGATCTCGCAGTTGGCTTGCAGGAGCATCATATCATTGAGGCTATTTGGAAAAGGAAGTCCTCCTCCCACCTCCATGTTTGCATCATCACGCATCCAATGAAATTATCTCAGTAATGGAAATTTACACACGTGCCAAATACTGTAGGAATATACAATTCTTTGCTTTAGTGGGATGAACATCCAGAGTGCAGCTAGAGGAGTTGTTACACAGTTTAGGCATCTCTAAGAATTCAGAAAGCAGGCAGTTTTTAGTGGTTCATTGCTCTTTTTCCTTCTGATTTTACACTGACAGTGCAGGTCTCTGAAAAATTTGTGTGAACTGAGGAAAAGTATGATGGCACCCATGGGTGATGAAACTGGGTTTTTTTACTTCTTTTGCAAAATATGCAACGTTTTTCATTGTATTTTATTCTGTTTTTCTAAGGTTTTAATTTTCTTTTTCAACTATATTGTATTGGAAGATAAGATTTCTCTTTATTATTTCATTCACAGCTTGTGAAAGGTCACTATTTATATTTTTCTGCCTTCCAGCAAAAACAGACTGGCTTTGTTGGCATATATTTAAAAACAAACACAAACAGCCTTCTTGTTTTTTTGCTGTTCATTACAAAAGAAACAGAAAGGTTACCACTCTATTCCCCTCAAGGTCAACTTGCAGTTTTCAGGTTGGTTTGAAGGGTGTGGGTAGCAGGTTACAGCCAAGTGCTTTGAGCTGAATAACCACTGTTCTTCATTTGCTTTAAGTTCTGCATTAATATTATGTTGAAATTGTTTTATTTACATTATGCTGGGTTTTTTTGTTTGTTTTTTTGTTTGTTGTTTTTTTTTTGGGGGGGGGGGGGGTCCTGGAACCACGCAGCACAGGTTAACATTTATCTGCAGTGGGTTGTACTGTGTAAATGGAGTCGTGAACATGGATTTTCAAGTCCTTTTTCACTCCTCTTTTCTTTTCCTTTTTTACCTTTAATTATTTATTGTGCAGCTACTGCTGCATTGCTTTATTCTTCCTAACAGATGTGTGACTTTTTCCTGTATAGGCAAGCCTGTTGTCCTGTCCAAAGAAGTGGAGTCTGTTCTTGTGGGTGCCGCTATTCTTGGAGCTTGTGCTTCTGGGGATTTTGCATCCATACAGGTATGCAGTACCTGATTTTTTATTTTCAATTATGTCTTATTGAATTATATTTTATGTTTGGAAATTTGGCCTTATGCACAGGCTTTGATTCAAGTGGAAAAGTTTGCAGAGCCAGGAGGGAGCCAGCGTCGCCTTCTGTCCACCCTCATTCTTTAACGCTGTTACTTATGAGCACAGAAGATTCACTAATGTTTGGCTGTGGTGACATGCAGTATAAGCTGTTCTCTGTAAGTTAGGCCATGTAATCTTACAGGCAGAAGAAGGCATTTGTGAAGGCCCTCTCCTTCAAGAAGGCCACACTTTCATCTCAGCTCCGAGTCCCACTTCGCGTTGAGGAGCATTAAATGTCAGAAATACCATAGCACTTACAGAGTTAAAAAGAACAAAAAACACACCTACACCTCTTGTTTTGCTCACAGTGAATTCAGAGTTAATGACGAGAGTGGAACTTCATGTTTATTTGTGTTATTTCAGTCCCTTAATGGTTGTAGAAGTGGCAGTAATGCTTTTATGTTCAGTGGATCAGCCAAAGCATGACTTAACTGTGTTTATATAAGTGACAGTAAGACACAGAAACCTGTAGAACCATCTGTGTTCTCAGAATCAGCTGTTTTCCCACCTGTCCTTGTGCTACCATTAGGCACTTCCTCTCCTAGCAGAAAGCACAGCTTCCTTTCATAAGAATTCTTCCATTAAAGTTAATCCCCTTGGAACAAATATATTGTACAATATGCATTTCTACTTAAAAATTCCAGTGCTTCTAAGGAAATCTTGATTGTTTTGATGAACATAATTTCAGTAGCAGCTTTTGGTGATAGGAACTCATATTTAATTCCTGCCTTTCTGTTATCTGTTTCATTTACAGCAGCATTTCGTTTCTAGTTTAAGATACCTTACACTACTATGCAATCAGTGACCATCTCAAAACTCTTTAAATTAACTAAGTCTGTCTTCATAAAAATATGGTCCCTTCCCATCTTTTCTTGAATCAAAGAAAGTAATACCAGAATATGAAGAAAAAAAAGAAACAAATCCCATTTCATTCCAGTGCCTCAGGCTGCTTTCTCCATTCGTGTCGGGTCTGATTGCGAGGCTCTTGCTGGCCTGCAGGGCGATGCCTTTTTTTCACTGAGTTGCAGGTCAGCCCCAGGCACTTCCTTGGGATCCCCCTGGAACAGAAAAGGGGGAAAAAGTTTGGAAACAACTGTTGTTGTTCATCTCACTGGACTTTTATGACATGTTTCTTTCCACCCCACTGCCAGTGGTGTTTGCTGGGAGCCAGGTGAGGCCCCATCCGAGACACCAAACCTGCAGTGGGAAGAAGCCACTCTGTGTTTTGACTTCGTGTCTGTTCAGAAGATTGTAGTTAAAGAGGTGACACCAATGGCAATATCAGCTGTATCGTGCAGCAAACGTTTTCAATTATGTTGAAATATTTTCCAAAGAATTCAGGTACTTGAGATCAGGAACAGTATAAAATATAGAAATGTTTTTTTAGGTGTAAATGGGTATCTAACGTTGCAGTTCAATAACCTCTTGTTTTTCTAACACTTTCTGCAAAGCAGAACCTTTTGTAGAGGTGCTGCTGCAAACATTCAGTGTCATTGTAGTTTCTGCAAATAGCAGAAGTTATTATCTGCCTTCTGATAGATGTTTCCTACTTAGTTATTGAGTTTTCCAAAACTGTTTGTTTGCTCAGTCTAACAGTAAAGGAGAAAAAAATACAAATAAAACCACCAAACAACCAACCCTGTGTGTTTTTTTTAGCAGTAGCCTCTTTCTTTATGACTGTGTTTGTTTGAAGGGGAATTTTTGCTGTATTTGTCCCAGTGATTTTGGTCACATTTCTCAGAATGATTTTTGGACATGTCAAAATCAAAATGCTTAAAGGCAATCTGGTTTTCCTGGCTTTGCTGTTCTCTCTTCTCTAAAATCCAGGCATCTTTAGGAAAGCTTGGAAATAGGACCCAAAACCAAGGTCTCTCAAAATACTTCTGGTAATCTTAGTCTGGATTTCATAAGGTCTGCTGACTACATAGCAGGCAGTAAAGCACACCGGTGCCAACCATTAGTAGCAGTGCTGCTCAGAGTGATGCTTCAGGGAGCTGGTGAGCCTGTGGAGCAGGGCTGAGCTCGGGATGTGTCTGCACACCAAAGCTGCAGCTTTGGGATTGCAGTGTGCATCAGGTGTTAGAGCTGCCCTGCTCATTCGTTCTGGTGCTGTGGGCTTTTGGGGGGCACAGGGCACCAAGACAGAGCCAGCGCTCTGACCATCTGCTGTTTGCTCAGGAAATTTGGTACACAGGAAGGTGTGTGGTAAGGAGAAACGGTATAGAGTAAGAAACATATGGTAACCGTGTACTGTAATTAGTGTTAGACTTTAGATTAATGGTTGGGAAATGGATTGGCATTGCCCATTGTTTCCTTAGGGGTAAAGTAGGTGGTTGTGGTGGTTGCTGTTGCTCCCATAATCCTGTACTGTCTTGATCCTTAGTCCTGTTACATTCCATCACTGGGATTTGGAAATGGGGAAGTTGCTGCAGAGAAACTGGGGGATTATTGCTCCAGGAACAGGGAGTGATTTACCTACAGTTGTTGCATAGTGAACCCAATCAGCACATTTATGAAGCAATTGGATTCTCACACTTCCTCTTCTTGGGCAACTGATTATAATGGCTGGAACACAAATATGCTTTTCCCTAAATGAGTTTCTTCTCAGAAGGAAGCAAGTCTCAGTGCACCTCCCGACTCCTTCCCTTTACTTACAGCAGTGGCCATTTACAGGACGTGGTACTTCCTCATAATCCTTATTTCTTTTATCTTCTTGAGTGATTTGGACAGAAAAGATTTTCATGCTTTTTGTTCACCGCATCTGTATTTGTCACAGAGTTCTCAGTATGCTGAGCCTTCGCAGGAGGAAAAAAAAAAACACAACAGATTGGAAATGAAAGTTACTGTAAAATTTGTAGCCGTTGAGGTTAATTTGCTGGATGTGTGTGGTTTTAGGAGCTTGAGCCCCTTGGAGCTGCAGTTTCATCTTTAGGTAATTCTATCAAGGAAAGATTTATAACCTCCATCTCTCATGCCTGGCCACCATATGTCGTTCCTTCAAAGAATGTTGACTTCTCTGTTTTCCTCTTCATTTATTCTCACTGCATTTTTCTCCTCTGTGGTAAAAGAGAATTAAAACAATTGGTTTATCCAAAAAGGAAAAAAAACCACACGCGGTGTGGTGAGAGTTACTTCCCATTTCATCTTTTGGTTATTTAGTCTCCAGAGTCTCCGGGAAAAGGAGAAAATCTGAATTTCTTCGTGCAATTTGGTTTATCTTTTCATTTGCCCCTGCTACAGCTTTTTCCTTTTGGAGGTTTTATAATACCTTGATTATTGTTCCTGTGAACTGGAGCACAGCCTGCCCGGGTCAGCGCTGACACAGAAGATAGTGCTGTGTAAAAATCGTATGACATAAGGATTTATGAAACATATACTATAGTTTGGGGGATTTTTGAAACACGTGCCTCATTCAGTGAAATAACCTTACTGCTTCTGGCTTAGATGGGTCCATTTATTGGTTCTCGCCATTCCTTCCATGTGCAGCAGCAGGATCCTGGTTTTTTTTCTATGTGATTGTTTCTGTAGTAAAAATATAGTTTCCGGTATAGCAAGCCAGCAATTCCTTCTCAGTAAAAATGTTCAATAAATAAATGTCAAAGTTTCCACTATATCCTCATTAATCTGCTTCACTTGTATGTAATTGAAAATGGGAAGAAGGTGCTGTTTGATTTGGCAATCATCCAGCTCTTTTCTTTTCTTTTTTTGGATACCCGACTCTTTGGGACAAAGCTGTACACCAGGGAACGGGGTTATTGCCTTATAAAACTCTGCACTCCACTGACTATTCCTTAATTGCATATTAAAGCAATTAATAAAATTGCTAGTATAAAACTAAACTGCCAAATTTATTTTGGAGCTGGTATCTAATGTGGGTCACTCTTACTGGTTAATATGGAAGAGGAAGAACTTCATCTGGTTTGATAAAATATGTTTCACTGGTAACTTTCTGCATTCATTTTTGGTGTAAAACGTGCTAGAAGTTGGTTCTTTCTAGTACAATATAGTCAGTCCACAGCTCTGGTAATGGACCAACTGGCAGTAGTGAATTGACAGCATTTCTTAAGAAGACACATAAGTAGTAATTGGACCTGCTCAACTTTTTGCTGACAGAAGGAGCAAGATGGGGCTGTTTTCGCTTCTGGATCAGGCTGTCTCTGCAATTTCATGTAGCTCCACTTATGTCAGTGGACATGCTTCAGTTGATGATCTGATCCTCTATTCCTCTTCCAAAGTATTACCTGTCAGGTCATGGATTGAAATTAATACAGGTGTTGATTTCCATATTTTCAAAAGGAAGAACCAAGTGAAAGATCAGGGAGAGGACAGCTTTTTTTTTTCCTTAGAAATGGTAATAACTTGGGAAATCAAAAGAGGAAATAAAATGACTTCTCCCTGTTGAATTAGGTAATATTGCCTTCCTTCATCTCATTAAAAATGTAAAGTGCTCTTGTTTTTGAGCAGGGTAAATTAGTAATTAAGTGCTATAATCAACTTGTGTAAACATAATAATGAAGGAGAGCAGCAAATTAATCATTTCGTTGGCTTGCCTTACCCAATTAATGCACCTTTTGCTAAGGGCCTTCGTGTTACATTGGGATGTTTTTCTCCTATTTTCTTAATCGGGGTGTTTTGGGAAGTCAGAAGAAGGAGGTGGTTGTTCTTAGATGCCATGCTGTGTGCAGATTGCGTGTTCAGGTGCTGTGAGCTTGCCTTCCTTTTCTTTAGAAGCTCCAAGTTTGTTCGTCTACGCTTTGAGTCCATGCTTCAGTGGAGGCCATTCTTGGGCAAGGCTGGGCGTTGGCTTTTGCTTTTCTTTGTAGTATATTGGCTGAGCATGGCACAGCCACGTCTTTATGTCAGTGATTCTTTTAAATCCCATCCTGGAT